TGACCTTTGAAAGGTCACTTGTAGCGGGTTATTTGGAGCATTTAAAAAAACGAACACACGAACTAGGTCAACTAGCGGTGACGAGAAAATAAAAGAATCCAAGTACGTATCGACTCCAAGTTTATTGTCACGATAATCAAAGGGTAGCAAAGAAACGTAGCGATGACAGTAACAAAAAATATTCTCATGATATGGTGCGGGCGTCGATTTAAGAGGTAATTAAGAAAAGAAAACTTTATGTAACTTACATTGTACATACCGAGAACGAAACTAATTGAGAATTACTCCAACAATAAATCATGCAAACAAATTGTACCAAGTTACAGTTGACTTACTTTAATTTAATTCCGAGGGAATTAACGTAAGAAGCTCGCAATCATTTATTCAACCGTCCATGTCTGATTTGGAGATTGTAGCGGCGGCGGGGGAAGGGAGCGGGGAAAGGAGAAGAGAGTAATATTCACTCCCCACCCCTACTCCTCTCCTTATTTTAGACCATCTCCCACCCCCTTGGTACAAGTTTCTTTCTCTCCTCAGCCTCCGCTGGCACTAAAAATGAACGTCTATTATGTAACAGTTACAACTACCGGAAACGAGGTCAAAATAAAAAGAAGATAAATAATGAGAATATAATCATTGAATGTATAAACGAATCGTGAGAGTCTTTAATCGTAACAATTATTTAAAATACAATTTTTACTGCCCACATATTCAGAAAGTCGCTGTCTAATTTTTAAAACGCAAGTGTCGATTTCACTTTTCGCTTTGTCGCTGTTGTAATATCGCGGAATTTACCCCAGCAGAACCTCATTTATTGCGTGAGCCAAAACAAGAACTTTCGTGTGGGTGAAAGCAAAGGCCAAAGCAAAGTCAGTAGACAAACCAAGCATATCCACTTATGGTTAAACAAGGCATTTACAATTCAGAAACTCATCACGATAGCTCAACGCAAGGTAACTTCAGACCTTGAATTCATACAATAACCACATTCTAAATATAAACGAATGACTAAATCATACTGAATTGACTTAACTCACTAATAACTAACTAGAAGATAACTAAGAGCAAAAACAAACTGGATAAATTTATGCAATCTACCGCCTCGGACGATATACATGTTAATGAAAATATTCATACCCTTTCAACTTCTTATCCTTCAGTGATGAAGAAATGACAAGAAAAAACACGTAAAACACGTTGGTAATGGTAAAAGAAATATATCAATGCGTGAGGGCTCAAAGAACAGCGCACAGCCGGGTTGTGTGTGGACATTTTGAAAGATTGCATAACTGCCTGCCATCCTTTACAAAACTATGCAAATCTCAGGCATTCAAGCTTGAGTGCCCACATTTGTTTTCCTTTCGAATAAGGTAGAGACATTGAGAATACACCACTTCGGTGTGTTTGCACGAAAATCGTAACAAGGACATCAGACCTCTTTTCAAACAGGCTCACAAATCATATCTGTTTCATTGGTAAAGGGTAATTCTCTCTGAAATTCGCTTGAACGCTTAGTGTGGATCAATGGGAACTCTGTCAGACGTCTTTAAAAGTTCTGCTTTCGTTAGTTTTGACCCTAAGCTGTCATTTGTGTTTCAGCAGGTTATGTGAGCCCACAGATGTCTGATAAATTTATCTCATAATCTATATGGATGTAAAGTTACCTCGTTCATCATGATAACGGTTGGATTAAACCGACCCATCTTTCTTGTGCGCATACACCTTCAGCTGTTATGTTATGAAATAGCGGTTGAGGAGAAGATTATCGCAGAAGTGGTATTGCACAAATTTTGTTCAATCGTTCGAAAATTTGCAGAAACCAATGAAAAGACAAGTGCAAAAGCTTTGCTTTTAAGAAAAAAGAGATCCTTAACTGTGAGTCTTGAAAGTCGTGAGAAACGAGTGAAAGATCTGGAATTCGGTTAAGATCTCTGTCGTCAATTAAGTAATTACCGTACATCTCAACAATCTCAACAAGATGAACCACTGATCTACTCAAACGTTAAAAGAACACAGACTGTATCAGTGAAATTAAGGCATTGCGAACTCGCCACATCACAGAGACATTCACCTCTTGGAATCAAAGCGAAAGTTTGGATTGCCTTTGCGCATTACCTTCTCCCTCACCCTTCCACTACTTAATGGCTAAGATAGTGCCCGTGGTGCAGTTGGCCGCGTATGCTAAAAGTAGCACCTTATACGGTCGTACGGTCGTACGATCGTACGTTCGCGCAGGTCGTATACCACCTTAAACTTTTCAATCTATTCAATATGGCCAATAACAACATCAACTCAACTTTTAAACTAAAGAGAAAACTTGATTGATGTTTGGAATTGATTTCTGTGATGTAAAAATGAAATCCAGTTATTATCTCAAGTATTTACAAATGTCTTCATGGTCGAATCCCAAGTCTCTCTTCGTTATCAAGTTTTAATAATGATATTCTAGTTCTAGCTTGTCTTCCCTCAAAGCAAACTTTCGCAATGCAAGGAATATTTTAGACAAATTTCGTATTTCATTAGCTAGAGTTGTTAAGATCATGGACAGTTGACTTAAAGACACCTAAATTATACGCAGTTACAGCAGAGGGCGCCGAATTAAATAACAAAAAAAAAATCTCAAAAAGACACCGTGTATTTCCAGCCAGAGGACGATCATGAAACAAGGATAGCCAAAAGAGAAAAAAGTTATGGTAAAAAAATTATAGGTTCAAACACGAGTTGAAAATTGGTTTTTTTTTAATTTTCTACGCTAAACAGTGGAAGTTGTAACGTTATGGAAACACGGTGGGGCAAGGAGTCATACCTGACAACGTCAAGAGAAGATATAAGAGAAGCCCTTACGATTCTGGCGTCTTATTTTACTGACTCGCTGTTCTCACGTGTATACTCTTCAATCGACCTTGATGTCTTTAAACGCGAAGTGATTTACGGTCGTTTCTTTTAATTTTGGCTCATTTTCCCAAAGCGAAATTATCAGTCACGCTCAATAGGATATAATTTCAACTGAAAGTCCGCGAGCTCGCTGCATTTCTCTAAGGAGTTGAAGGTAGGTTTGTATTTTAGCATATAAAATGATTCGAACAGGCGTAGATTTGCGGGGTCTTTGTAGCACAATGGTCGTGATTCGATGCCTTTCTGGACTTTGTTAAAGCAAAATGCATTACGTTTTTATAAATGTTGTCATGTTCGTATCAGTCGCGGTAGATGAAGGATGCAACGTGTTAATCAGCTATGTTCTGACATTTATCGACCGATGTTTTCAGTTATGTTCGATTTGTCAGGGTAAATTTGAGCCAGGGTACAGTACAAAAATTAGTTCGAGCTAAAGAAGAGCTTGAGTTAACAGAGCTCGAAGTAGCTGATGGTAAATGACTGGATTAACAGGGTGAAGTACAAGGAAAATCGGATCTTATTCGAGTTCCTGGCTGTTTAAGTTGACAGGTTTCGAGTTAGCGGGGTTCTACCGAATAAGAAAAGACATTTTGAATCCTTAAAAACCAGGTGTTTTTACCTTGATTGAAGTATCAGTTGTTTGCCAAGGAAATGTATACATATACCAACAAGTGTTTGGCTTAATGTGACTGCTTCGTCCCTCAACCTTTCTTTGGCGACCTGATGGACGCCTCCATCTACCGACTTTTGAACATCATCCCCCTGATTCTTGGACTCCTCCTCTGCTAACCCTTTGATAGCCTCCTTGTCCGATTTGTTACCAGTCCTTGTCCGAGCTAGACTCTTCACTGCTTTTTTCGTTTGAACTGGCTGCTATTAGCTGCATGTTACGGAAAAAGTTGTATTTAAAATGCCTTTTTCTGGCAGAGGGTAAAGATGAAGACGCCTGACCAATTTTCCGGTTATCTCAGCATAGATGGTTGCAATGCTTGTACAACTATTGTTTTATTTGATTGCACCAAACACCTCTCCAGCAAGCTCTTTTGAGGTAAGCTTTGCGAAAAGCAAGTATGCCCTCTGTTAAAAACGCTTCTTCTTTAATCAGTGTTTTCATTTTTTCTTCGCGATTGCCGATCTTTTCAAATGCTAGATAGAAGCTTCATTTTCATTTCTATTTGAATCCACCATCTTTACTGCAATTCGTATTTTGCATAATGGCACTGTTGTAAAAATTCAGCTTATCGGTTTGAGGCCATGACATCTTCCACTGACAATATGGGGAAATCAAAGAAAAGCTATATATTTTAAGGGGGAGGTCAAGTAAATGCTCTGTTGTCGCGAAAAAATCCTCCTTAGTCCCTCCACGGTTGTAAATATTGACCGGTCCCTTACAGGTACAAATCTTAGCCTAAACCTCTTTTTTGGGGGGAGGGGGAGGGGAGGGGGGAGGGGTTGCAATAAAAGTCCTTTTACCAAAGAACTAATAAGTTTCACGTAGTTAGACGTAGTTAGTTTAGAGAAGTATTTTCTGGGTTTGGGGAGGTGTCATCTGCCGGCGTCATCTACAGTAGCCAAGCAGGACTCAAAATTGACAAAGCCATCGTTACTCGTCAAAGTCATCGTCGTGGAAGGAGTTGCAATATAAGTCCAGTTACCAAAGGGCTGTTAACTTTAACGTAGGTAGTCCAGAGAAGTATTTGCTGGGCTCGGGGACTGGGGGAGGGTAGTTGGGGCGTGGATGAGTTGTGATAAGGAAGAAACACTTTTGTTTCCAATTAACTTCGTTTATTCGAAATATCGTTAACGCATATGGCTCAGCGTAAAATCTAATTCCACCATTGCGGAAACAAATTAGTTTAATCGGTTTGCTGAAAAAGAATGTGTTTTTTAGACCAATTTTAATTTTCATTATCTTTAATTTCTGAAATGCTTTTATAAAAAGTGGTCGCTCAAGCAGTTAAGAAATAAAAGCCAACTACTTAAAGGAAATCTTTCAGATTCAAGATAAGCTAACAGTTATTCAAATGCATCGCCGATACAAAAACTTATCAAACTTGACTTAAAATGTCTACAAACTGGAATGAAATGATGAAGAGGAAACCTCTTTAATAGTTGAAAAAGAAACAAATGGACATGAAAACTAACAACAGCGCCTGCATTACACCGGGTTTAATGCCAGCGGCTGCATTCATGCCGGAGGGGATGTCTGTCACGCCATAACACTGATCATTTCCGGTCGCCCCAGGGTCCCGATTGTTTGCGCAGAAAGGATTGTAGTCAGCAAGCCCCAAGTCCAACACTTCCCGGTCAGCAGAGGAAAAGGTGCAGTCAGAATCAATCAGATTATTCACACACTTCTTCCGCTTGGCTTCCTCCCTGAAACAATGAAAGTTGACAAAATCATTCTACGTATGCCCGTTTTCCTCGTTATGCAGTTTTGGAACTGAGACTACATCGATTTCGATCTATTTCGGTTTACAAAGCCGAGCCAACTCTGATCGGCAAAACTCGCATCACCCTCTGAAGGCGACTTGGTTATTGACGTTTCCCTGTGCATTGATTCTAGTCAGTTTACTGGATTTCCATAAAGCGCACCTTCTTAATTTGTCGATTAATTCTATCACCATTAACAATGATCATGATATTTCTGTTTTTTTTGTTTGTTGTTGTTGTTCCTGTAATACTCAACCAAGGCGCATTTTTATTTGTCCCTTTTCTCTATCAATTTATTTGAAATTTTACTTTTTTTCTTCCTTTCTTGCAGAGCTTTAAATTAAAAGAAATAGTGGATTTAAATGTCTGCTAAAGTTAATGATACATAAAGTCAAGGCTTCTTTATCCACATCTGGATGAGAGAAAGAACTGGGAATAATGTTTCGATTCTCGTCTTGACAAAATTTTCTTCATTTTTACGCCCGTTCCCAAATTTCTTGTTATCTCTCAATTTTTTCAGGGGAATATTCTCGAGACAAGGGTGTGAAGTTTTTCTTTGTTCCACAATCGCGCCTTATCAATTATCTCCGTTAATTTATTATTCTGAGTAAAACCACCTCATCATGGAATCTGTTTGCTTTGGATAACAAAGAAGCAAAGTGGATAGCGTTGATGTAATCTGGGCGTTTACATCATAAGTAACAACCACTCAGAATACATGTAGGATTCAGCTTATTGTGTGAAAACAGATAGTTTACACAAACTCACGCGCAAAGAGAGGAATTCGATTTGTCCGCGACGAATATTTGCCGGAAGGTCCTTCCACAGGCGTTTGCTTTAGTGACGAAAGAGCTGGAACAAAGCGGTGATGCCGCTGACGAAGATGATATTAGAGCGGGGCCTTCAGAACATTCTTTGCTGGGAAAACTGTCGTCTACAATTCTTCTGATGGTGCTATCCGGCAGTGAGTTCGCACAATACTTCATCACCTTCACCACACAGTCTTTCATTTGGTCGAACTTAGCACTGGAAAAAAAACAAGGTAGCCACGGAGGTAAAGCAATTTTTGAGTGAGAGTCCATTGTAATTCATGAACAGAACAGGCCAACTGACAGATACCGCAGTTTTGCGTTACAGTGGAATGAGTCGCCCTTCAAAACACCTCAAAGTTTAGAGCTAATTAAGTGAACTTACAAACAGTCTCCTTTGGGGTCCTTTTGTAGTCCTTTATAGAATAATGTGACGCATTTTCGAACAGCACAATAGTACTCCATGAAAGTACATCGGCCAATGTTAGGGAGTGCCCCATGACTTTCAACGAGAAACGCTGTAAGAGCAGAAATCAAATAATCAGTGAGCCGTTTGCTATGAGAGTGATTTTTATGAATGTAAAGGAAATAATTAGAAAGGAATGCAACGCTATAGATTATTGTCAAAAAAGTTTATGGATCTGTCCTCCTTGCGCCCAAACACGCAAGTTTCATTTTCGGACCGGAAACTAACGCTCGTTCGGCATAAAATCTCTCAGGCCAAATATCCTGTCTCGCATTCTTTTTACCAACAGTTCCTTTGTCATTTTATAGGACATGTATTGACATGCTTCATACACATTCATATTCAAAAATCGTTCACGAACACAATGAACAATTTTGAGATTGCATTGAAGTTAATTGCTCGTCGCGAGAAATATACAGAATCCAAATTAGCATGTTTAAGAAGAAGCACGTGTTTGGCCTGGGTTGCGATGAACTGCCCAGCCTCCCTCCCAGCCTCCTTCCCCTCTTCCTTCCTTCTGCTTGGTCCAAAACGCTTCGCCTCCTCTGGGAAGTAATTTTACTCATTAATATGACGAGCCAGGCGGCGGATGTTATTAACCAAGCAAGTAGTTCAAATACAGAATATTTGCCAACGAGCCGTAACAACGTGGACTATATCACGCAGGTCGTTTTATGTTAAAGTTATGATCGGGGAATACAAAATTAAACAATTTCAGATCTTTCTCAGTTATTGAAAACTACCCACTTTGTATCTGGGATCAGTATAAGAACGCTTCCCTTCTCCTTCACGCTATACAGTCGCAGTTGTATCTGTGTAACAGCCTTAGATCTCAGGATCTCTTTCATGAAATGAATCGACAAGTAGCTTTAACCCTGTTGCATGTGCACTACAGAAAAGCGCAAGCTCGAGTCATCAGTTTGAGAAGATACCTATTAGTGTTAAGCGATTTAGTGCTGAGAAAGCAGAATTACAATGAAGTTCACGCCCTGATCACTCCACTTGAGAGATGCGAGCAGCGATCAAAGTACGCATAACGATTATTTCTCTCAACTTGTGTCGTATATCGGCAAGTTTGCTTAGATGCAGGTCTGGGAAAAACGCAATTGCCCTAACTTGAAAGAGTTAAAGAAAGTGTAGGGGAGTTAATTTCAATAATCGTTTCATTGGGATTACGTCGGGTCAAACCGGATGATGCAAGACTTTTCCTATATTTAGTGTCATGATCCTCTCGCCAATTGTTTCATCAGGATAATTGTTGTGGAACTACTCTTTAGTAAAACAGCTGCCTTCTTATACAACATAAGATATTGATCAAAGACATATTGGACAATTTGAGGTTGCAAGTGTATTTGCTTTTTCCAAAAAAGCTATGCAGCAATCATTTCAGGAGGTTTGAGTCGAAGAACGTGTTTAGCTTGATGTACGGTAAAAACCCTAATTATTTCCTTCTTTTCTTCGTCGCGGTCCAAAACGCTTTCGCTGCTTCTGAGACGCAATACCATTTAATGATATATGTCATTGACTAAGCATATGGTTAAGGTACGGGACATTGGCCAACGTACTCTACTTCATGCGGATTGATAACTTTCGTGTCCGTGATATCAGCCGAGTAATATCAGAAACGAGATTTATGCCATCCTCTCGTAGACGTTTCTTTTTTTTCAGTTAAAATTGAATTTATCCTAATGTTTATTTCCCTTCCACCTTGATTGGCTTCGCTATTTTGCGGGAGGGATATGTATTTTAATCGCAAAAGTAAATAAATTTTGTTGATTTCGTTTTGTACCTGTGTTATATTATTGAGTAGAAAGTAATATTACAATGCAGCCAACGCCTTATTTTCCTCGCTTGATTCTAACTATTATCAAAGTATCTGAAACAAATACTTCTTTCACCTTGTGTCGCTGATCTGCAAGCGCGTTAAGATGCATATGCAGGTCTTTCCCTAACTTGAAAGAGTTCAAATAGATTGGCGAGAGACTCGAGCAGCAAGTTTCTGGGAATTTTACCGACAGCGACAAGAACTGCATCGAACGTACAGTGATAAACAAAGGTGACTGAAAAAACCAGACTCAATTTAGTCAGGGTGCCATCGTGTTGGTCCGTAACTTAGAATCCTTAGGCGCAGTGACGAAAAAGTATGAAAACATGCAAAGCTACTAGGGGGAAGAAGAAAAATAACAAAACGAAACCATCTGAAACGAGACTAAACGAAATCAACCACATTTCGCTGAAGCAAACACCCACGGTTTTCGTGTTCTTTAAACCCTTTGATTAACACCTGAAGGTGGAGTAGTTAAAGATAAACTTACCCACGGCCACGACGAGAATTAAAGTGAAACGCGCAGAGATCTGCATCTTCGATGCTATGCTCCTTTGCAAATGAATCGTCGAGAGTAACCAAGGTCCTATTATAATTATCAAAACCGTTTGCCATCGTGACGTCAGCTGAAGGTCTAGACATGCCTGATTTCATGAGCAAGGCTGGTCCGGTTGGCCGGGCTCAAACTATAATGCACCTGATTGAATTGTTAGCTAAATCAAATGTCCTCCGTTAAATATATCAATACTGACGTATAGTTTAGCTATGTCATTGTGACTTTTGAGAGATCAAGTGTATCGAGTTCCCAACACTCCAAAAAACGAAATCCAAGTTTATTATCATGATAATCAAAGGGTAGAAAAGAAACGTAGCTCTGACGTTAGCAAAAAATATTATCACTGATATTGTGGACGTCGAACAAAAAGGCAATTAAGAAATAAAATCTTATGTAAATTACATTGTACATACCGAGAACGAAACTAACTGAGAATTACTCCAAATGAACCGATAATCAGAGTAACAATAAATCGTGCAGACAAATTGGAATAAGACATGGTTTGATGCTATTCTGGTTTACAGATTTAATGAATGTAACCGAAGAAGTTACAATTCATCTCACCCCTGATGAAGGCATTAGACAGGAGTGTCGAAACGTTGGGTCTATGAATTGTAACTTCTTCGATTACATTCATTAAATCTGTAAACCAGAGTAGCATCAAACCATGTCTGATTGTCCACCTGGTTACCGTGTGAACTTTAATATAAATTGGAATAAGTCATAACTGACTTACTTTGGTTTAGCCCCTAGCTTTGGTTACGGATATGTAACTTACCACGAAAGCACGTGTCGTTTTGTAAAATAATATAAGCAAGTGATCAAACATGTACGTCTGTTAGGCTGTTATGACCACCAGAAAACATGATCAAAATAGAAGGATAAACAATCGGTAAATAATCATTGAATGTTTCAACGAGTCGCGAGAGTTTTTAAACTTAACAATTGTTTATAAAATACAATTTCAACTACCCAAATGCGCAGAAAGTCGCTGTCTAATTTTTAAACGCCAATCTCGCTGTCGATTTCACTTTTCTCTTTGTCGCTGTTGTAATATCGTTTAAGCGGCTTGTCGTTCGTCGTCATTTCAGCTCCTTCCGCCGTTTCAATCCTTTCATTGCGTAAGCCAAAACAAGAACTTTCGTGTGGGTGAAAGCAAAGGCCAATGCAAGGTCAGTGGACAAACCAAGCACATCCACTTAAGGTTAAACAAGGCAGTCACAATTCAGAGACTCATTACGATAGCTCAACGCAAAATAGCTTCTGGCTTTGAGTTCATACAGTAACTACATTCTAAAGATTAACGAATGACTAAATCATACTGAACTAACTTAACTCAAAAGAAACTAACTAGGAAGGTAACTAAGAGAAAAAACAAACAGGATAAAGTTATGCAATCTACCGCCTCGGACAATATACATGTTGATAAAAATATTCAAACCTTTTTTCTTCTTATCTTTTACTGATGGAGAAATGCGGGTAAAACACGTTGGTATTGGTAACAGAAATATGTCGATGCGTAAAGGCTCAAAAAACAACGTACAGGTTGTGTGTGGAAATTTTGAAAGATTGCATAACTGCCCACCATTCTTTAAAAGACTATGCAAATCTCAGGCATTCAAGCTTGAGTGCCCTCATTTGTTTTTCTTCTGGATGAGATGGAGACAATTTCATTGAGAATACACCAATTCGGTGTGTTTGCACGAAAATCGTAACAAGGACGTTAGATCTCACCTCACAGGCTAATAAATCATACCTGTTTCATTGTTGAAGGGTAATTCTCTCTGAAACTCCCTCGTACGTTTGGTGTGGATCAATGGGAACTCTGTCAGACGTTTTAAAAGTTCTGTTTTCGTCAGTTTTGACCCAAAGCTGTCATTTGTGTTTTAGTAGGTTATGTGAGCCTACAGACGTCTGATAACAGTTTATCTCATAATCTATATGGATGTAAAGTTATCTCGTTCATAACAGTTGGATTAAACCGACCCATCTATAGTCTGCGCAAACACCTTCAGCTGTTATGTGGGAAAAGTAAACTTGAGCTGCTCTGGATCGGAATGAAAAGGATCGATATGTTTAGAGTCTTTTTGCTGAAACTGTCCGTTTCGTATTTTACGTAGCAATGGTACTTTGGCTCTTGTCGAGTGTGGTTTTGATAGCTTTGGACTACGTTAAAATGAAGCAGCAGTTTAGGAGAAGATAATCGCAGAAACGGCATTGCAGACACCGTGCAATCGTTAAAAAATTGACAGAAACCAATGAAAAGACGAATGCAAGCAATTTGCCTTTAAGAAGAAAGAGAGCCTTAACTGCGAGTCTAGAAAGTCTTGAGAAACGTGTGAAAGTTCTGGAATTCAAGTAAGATCTCTGTCGTCATTTAAGTAATTACCGTACCACTTAACAAAATGAACTACTGATCTACTCAAACGTTTAAAGAATCAGAGGATGTATCGGTGAAATTAAGATATTGGGAACTCACCATATCAGTGAAACATTCACCTCTAGAAATCAAAGCGCAAGTTTGGATTGCCTTTTTAATCATAAGATTATGACAATCGACAGCAAAGACATAATCGGCTTTTATCATATCGCAAACAGTAAGTCTTTTGAGTATCTAGGAGGGACTGATAGGCGGTTTATGACTGCATGTGGCTATGATAGAGCGTAATTTTTATCGCATTGAAATCAAGAAGCGGCTTTATAATGACGCTAGAAGGTAGTGCTGCGGGAAATTTTTCTTTAATCAGAAAACCTGTCGAATCCCACACTTTTATGAATACCTGTTCCACAAGAGAAAGTTGATTAAAAAATATTGACTAATTGACTCTCAACCAATAATCTAAAGGTGACAAACAATCATAAAAATTATAACAATTACAATGGTAATGGTCGTTGAATGTCGTCCTACAACAGAATTTTAGATAATAAAACTGACGAAAGATAAATTGAGGCCTTAAACTTCTGTAAATTGATGTTAAAATCTCCTTTTAAAATCCAGGCTTTCGCTGATCCACGGTATCATCAGGGATGAAAAAATATTTCGCGTAAGTCTTAAAGCGCCTCAGACACGATTTTTTATTTTGCGTAAACATGTAGCTTATTATATGTACAAACAAATTCCGGTAGCAAAAATTTGAAAAAAACGTAAAACTCGGTTTTTTCGGGCCGTAACGTGCTCTTGTTTTGACTTAAAAGTATCTCATGGACTGACGACGAGGTAAGTGAATGATGACATAGAAAAATGTGAAAATTCTCGGTTGACACCTACAAATCTCTCACATCTATTGTAATTTTGTGTCAGTTCTCGTTGAAGTACTCTTAAAATAATGACCGATGGCGATGTCTACCTACTTTCGGCAGTCTCTACTGAGAGTTGTGTTACATTGTACTCCAGTAGCAAAGAAGAATAATAAAATAGCTAGTAAATTTGTCTGATCAAATTCAATTGCGCGAGCGTGCTTCCTATTCCTATTGTGCACGCTCATGACGTCAGCAAACAAATCCCTCGAGAAAAAAATTTTCCATCAGGTTGAAAATGTTATAAAACAATTGGTTCATACGTCAGCTGTGTGTTCATCGAGATATGAAGCATTGGGAAGTCTGGAGAGCTCTCAAGAAGCTAGAGTTGCTCTCGACTACCCTTCGAGCAACTCTTACGTATCTTTCGTGTTCTCCAAACTGCACACGTGCTTCATATTTCGATGAACGCACGCTAACGTATGAACCAATTGTTAAATAGAAGTTGCGAGTGTGGTTCAGCCCTACGAAGGAGAACCGCGTGCGTCGAACGAAGATTTAAACGAAGAAAAAAAACTCCTGTTACTGAATGTTTGTGAATGTTGCGTTTGTGTTATGTTTTCCACGGCGAAATTTATGTTAGGAATAGGTAGCTTTGTTCGTTTCTGTTGCCACAACATTTTATTCCTTCGCACCGAGTGCGACGAAGGTTCTCCTTGGTCAGTGCTCTAGAGTTGCGTTGTTGTAGAGTAATTCCCTAGCAAACCAAAAGCTTACTTTTGACGAAAGAATTAGCTGTATCACGAGGCACGATGATTTTTCGTCGAGAAGTCATCGGGCAGTTTCACTGCAAGTTGCTCCTTTCCTCAGAGATTTCAAAGGCAGAGACTATCGTCATCGAGCCAGTCCACGGAAAACGAGTGACTATAAAGTCATTTGGTTCAAGTTTATCTCAAATAAGGATTTAAATAGAGAAAAATGTTTTGAGTTTAAGTGCAGCATTGCAAACTGACCCATTTCGCTCAATGGCGAATAACTGACATCAGCGTTGAAAAATTCATGTTTCGTATGCATCGACTTCTTATAGCAATCGGATTCGCTACCATCTAATTCAATAATATTTGTTTCTTTAATTATCTCGTTGCAGTGCTGTTATCACAATGTCACTGCTACTTTTGCTACTTTTAGTTTCTTTAGGCTTGGGGGGAATTGATGGCTCGAGGGATGGATTTTCGGAAAGCTAGGTTGGGAGAATATACGGCCCCCTCGAGCTTGTGTTTATGTCAGTTTCCACCTGAGGTTTCGCACTGTTCAGGGCAACAGGATATCGGTAAGCTCAGGAAAGGGCTTTAACTTTATTATAAATGATGTATTTCTGTTTTTGAAATAAGATGGAAACTACAACTGGTAGGGTTTTCATACGAAAAGAAAAGTGCAAATGCAGTCATGTGGAAAGACAAAGAGTATGAGTACATCTCAAGCGCGTGAAATGAAAAACAATAAGAGGCTCACCATTCTTCGCTTGCAAAATGTCGGCCGAAAAGAATTTGGAAAATCGTGTACGGTGTGGTAACAAGCCCCTTAATCAGTATTTTTTTAGCTTAATTCATTGGTTACCTTCTTCTGATTTGACTGGTGGTATGTGTTCGTAACAGACGTTTTCGAAGCCGGTACAGAGAATAAGGCTGATAAAATTGAAAAGAAAATCTCCTCGACGTCGACGATCGCATCCATTTTGGCCAC